AGGCCCGGCACCCACTGCACACAGGCACCCCAGGCCCGGCACCCACTGCACACAGGCACCCCAGCTCTATTTTGGCGCCTCTCAGTGGTGAGGATGGAAGTGGCCGGAGGCCTTGGAACCACAGCTAATTAGCAACCGAGCAGGAATAGAACCGGCTGTGCTCGGCCATCAATCCACCTCCCTCCTGGCCCCAGAGATGGATCATGTTCACCCTGGAATGGGAGCTGGAGCCCCCTTTAATTTTTTCCAAAAAAAAAAGAAGCATTTAAGTTTTGAAATGAGATCTAAGGAAAAATGTCACAGCGTCATGAAAGGGAAATTACAAAATAAGTCCAAGAGCCGTCTTCAAGCAGAGGACATCCACAGCAGTCGTTGGTGACCACCGCTGATAGGGGCTGTCTTCTCACCTCATTCCAGAACCTTCCAATTGTGTTGGGCTCATCTTCCTTCTCGGCCTTGAGGACCCGCTTCTTCCCAGCCTCCTTTCCTCACATCACTCTCCTGCCTCTTCCCTGCAGTGCACGCCCTGCCTCTTCCCTGAAGTGCACGCTCTTGCCCTGCCTCTTCCCTGCAGTGCACGCTCTCCCCCGCCTCTTCCCTGCAGTGCACGCCCTGCCTCTTCCCTGAAGTCCACACTCTCACCTTGCCTCTTCCCTGCAGTGCACACTCTCACCCTGCCTCTTCCCTGCAGTGCACGCTCTCACCCTGTCTCTTCCCTGCAGTGCACACCCCGCCTCTTCCCTGCAATGCATGCCCTGCCTCTTCCCGGAAGTGCATGCCCTCTCCCTGCCTCTTCCCTATAGTGCATGCGCATGCCCGTGTCCTGTGCCAGAGTGGAGCTGTGAGGCAGATGGAGATCAGGCACAGTCTCCAGCTGAGGGGTGATGCCCTGGTCAGAGGACATTCCAGGGGATAACAGTGGCTCTTCAGGAACCAAATAGCAGGAAGGGAAAGGCAGTTCCAGGTGGTGGTTCTCCTGGTTTTCTAGGCAGTGAAACTGCCGCAGTGAGCATGTTCAAGGAAAGTGGAGAGGCAGCAAGTGCTATCTTGCTGTTGGCTCCTCACCCTCTGCATCTCTTGCAGCTGGCGCACGTGCTGCCCACAGAAGAGAACTTCCTGCTTCTGTTCAGGTGCCAGCAGCTGAAGTCCTGTGAGGAGTTCATGAAGGTGAGAGCAGCTGCCGAGCAGTCCCCGTGCGCTTGGAGTGGGAGGAGCTGTCTAACCTGTGGTTTCCTTCTCCTCACAGACATGGAGAAAGTATGACACTGACCACAGTGGCTTCATAGAGACCGAGGAGCTGAAGGTAAGCAAGGACTCACCTGAGTTTTTTTCCTTTCAAATGCAGTTATGAACTGTGTAGCTTTTTTAAAACCTCCCACAAAAGAAGCTAACATTGAGCAAGGGCACATTATCACCTGCATTTCCACACTGTTGATGAAGAACCAGCTCAAAGAAGAGACCTCAAGCACTTCTGTTCAGCAAAGCCAGGAACTAGCATTTTCTGTGTGGACACCAATTATTCTATGACATAGATAAATATAATGAACTAGAGGCCTGATGCATGAAGATTCATGCAAGAATGGCCTTCCTTCCCCTGGCTGCCGGCACCGCCTTCGCTCCAGCCCGGAGCCGCCTTTCCACCTTCCCACGCTGCCCAGAGCCCGGAGCTAGTGCGGAACACCTGGGATGATGCAAGCGTCCTGCCCCGCCCCTGGCCACTAGGCGCCTGCATATGCAAATTAACCCACCATCTTTGTTGGGTTAATTTGCATACTCACTCCTGATTGGCTGGTGGGCATAGCAAAACGGTCAATTTGCATCTTTCTCTTTTATTAGTGTAGATACTTGGCCTTTTCACTGAAATGTGATAGTTTATACATTAAACATCTATATAAATAGATTTCTCTTTCAAGAGAAAGATGTTAACAATTATTGGACATAGACTATCTGCCAGGTACGTTACCTACTATTATGTCCAGTGTCTGGGTGAGCTCGGGGGTCCTTTTACCCCCGTGAGGAGAAGGTGGGAGGTAGAGTGAGGTCCTCAGGGCCTCACAGAAATCAGACACAGGGCCTGGGGGTGGACCCAGCTCGTCGGCCTCTGGCTAGGACCTTCCACACACCCATTCCTCTCGACAGCAAAGCCCTCAGCTGTACCCCACGTCTAGCTGGTCAGGCTGCTCAGAAATGAGCCATGAAGTGAGCATGTCTGCCCCTCACACAGGCTGTGGGAGGCTGGTGAGGCGCAGGGGCAGAAGGGATGGCCAGAAGCCCCAAACCGCCCTCCTCTGGACAGCCTTTCCATCACTCTGCTGGTGCCCACATCCGCGTGAGGACGGCAACAGCGCCTTCCTCTCGGGTCATTGTGAGCACAGGCAAGATGTTGCACACGGAAGACTGGCTGGAATGCAAGGCGCAGCAGCTCTGTCCTTCATAACCCCCAGCTGACTGGCCTTTCAGAACACGGACGCATCTTTCCTTCGACCCCAAGCCTCCCAGCAGGAGGCCGCTTCCAGGATCTGCAGCGTGTTACTCTGGGAAGCACACGTGTTTATGTGTTTATGAGCCTGTGCGGTGGTGGGCACGGGACGAGGTGTTTGCACATGGAATCCCCGCCCCCCCACCAGAGCTTTTCTGAGCAGATGCTATTGCGCCCATTCTACAGAGAAACTGACGTTCAGGGATGTTGGAAAATTTCACGTTTTCACAGCTGCCAGGGGAAAGAGCCAGGTGTGTGCGGTGACGCCCCGACGTTCTCAGCACTGCAGGCTGTCCCGGAACTGCGAGCAGGACGTGCTCCCGGTCATGCTGGACGTGGCGGGAGTCGCACCATCTTATTTAATTTCATCTTTTAAAAGGTTTTAAAATTAAGTTGATTGGTCAACATGATCCTGTAGGTCCGGGTGTGGGTTCGATGATGCCCTATCTGTATATTGCACTGTGTGCTCATCACCCAATCTAATCTTCTCCTGTCGCCATATGTGAGGACCCTGGAGAAGGGCCTGGGCCGCGGCCAAGTCGCTAAGACATATCCGACCAGCGCATCTGGGAAATGTGAACATTTTTAAGTGAAATCACAAGAGACAATGTCGTTGGCACACGTGCCGTTCAGCAATGTAGAGGCCGCAAGGTGACAGCTAAGCTATTGTGTTTTTATCCCATTGAACCAAAAAAATTCTTTTGAAAATTACTTCAGGTTCATTTCCAACCTCAAAATACCCTAAAGGCCTCCTTCTTTGCTCTAAATCTTCTTCTCAGGAAGAGACGCTGAGTAGAGCCGTCCTCTCGGGGGCATCTCGGAGATCAGCTGGCATCCTTCTAATGGCTCTTTCCAGAAGCTAATTTAAGACTGTAATCGAGTGAAGCGCACTTGCTCTGGGGCGCGAGTGGAGCCTGTCCCGCGCTGGCTCCGGGCTATTTTTGTGACCATCATTTTTGTCTCTGGTGAGGACTTTTAACCCAATTAATCTCTGACAAAAGCCTTCTAAGGCTCAAAATAAAATTCACCCTTACCAGATAACTTTGAAGTTTCCATCTTCACTTGGATTGGAGTGGAATGTTGGAAGTGGAAATAATTCATCAGCCCCAGTCTCCTGTGAAAGAATAGAGCACGGGACCCAAGCGGGGGAGCGGCAGAGCCAGATCCCCTCCCACTCCACGCGCAGACCTCTGTTCCCGGCAGCCCCGCCTTTCCCAAGGAGATGGGGAGAGCCAGCAGCACTAGCCGAGCACCAAAGGCTGGCATTTGCTCACCCAGCGCTGCTGTCGTTTCTATGGGAACTCCTGTAAAGCTTTTACCTGTTTAAAGGCGTTGACGCTCACTCCTCACCTCTGCCTGTGACACGGACAGTCACCTCTATCACCCTCCCTGCACCCCTCTGTGTCCATGCGATCACGTGTCCTCAGGGATGAGACACATGGGGTGCCCACCTGCATTAGGAAGTCGGCCTGGCCCGCGTGCCACCCGACCTGACCCTCACGGCCAGCCCTGGGAAGGAGCTTCGTGCTGGCCATCAGGGTGCCCTGACCTCACCCATAGGCTCTCCCCCGAGGCGAGGCCCGGAGGGGCTGTGTTCCCGCTGAGTGGTGTGAGCGTGGGTGAGGGAGCCTTGAAACTCATCCACTGAACTGGCTGGTTCATGAGGTTTTGCTCAGATTCCTGCACGTACACAATCCAGGTATTCCTTTCCCTGAAACCCTAAAAGCGAGTGCCGTGCAGCCAGGAGAGCTGGTGCGGGGGAATCCAGGGCCTATGGCTCCCCTCTGCTCCTCCCACACGCCCCCCTCGGAGACACACTTCCTCCCCCCGCGTTACTGATGCAGGTGTCTGTCTGTCCTAACAGAACTTCCTGAAGGACTTGCTGGAGAAAGCAAACAAGGCGGTGGACGATGCCAAGCTGGCCGAGTACACAGACCTAATGGTGAGACGCCCTCAGGGGCTGAGCCAGGCCCGCTCACCCAGGCTGTGGTGTGAGCAGTGACCGGCGGCCTCGCTCACGTGGTGTCGCTCACGTGAAAAGCTGACTCCCCTGGCCGCGGCCTCGCGGCTGTGCCACAGGCGCCAGATGGGCAAATCTCTTCTCGTGCAGTTGCCAATTTTGTCTCAAAAGATCACTTGTTTTTTTTAAAAGCCAGTGTATTGCATCGCTAAATTCTGTAACTCAGATATATGTAAGTCACATTATAGATATATACATTATATCACTAAATGTCATTCATTATAGAAGTTCTGACTCAATTTTCATCATGACTTAGGAAAGCATAGCTTTTGTTAGAGTTTAGAGATAACTTATAGCCACCTTACTCATTAGAGACTACGGTAAAAATGGGTATTTCTGCCTCTGCCTTTTGATTTTTCTTATTTTGGAGCCTCATCTTGGGTGAGGAAACCCAAACATACCTTTATTCTAATGCCGTGGGGAACAGTATGAGCGAGATCTACGGTCAAACGCTGAACATGGAGCTAAGAAAACTGCTTTACACACAGACACTTCGTGTTTAGGAATGAATGTGAAATACATTATGAAGCCCAGATAGAAGCATCCTCCCTGCGAGGTTAACTAGTTTCAGGGGGGTGAGTGGGCTCACGCTGATTCCTCAGGACCCGGGCACTTTTCCTGAACTGCTTCAGCTGTGGGCAGCACTGTTCTAATTGTTTACCTCTTGGAGTGTAAAGTTTTATTATTCAGTCAGCATGAGTTTGTGAGGTCGCAGTGAACTCTTACCGCGTGGATGTAAATAAATAACCCATACAACGTAAGTGCGTGTTATAAACTTGTGTTATGTTAGATGGGTTAAGAAGTTAGCCTCTTCAGGCACCCTGAGAAATAACCTTGTAAAGGGTCTGATTATGTTTGACGTCACTGAGGTCGGCTCTCATCCTGCCAGCCTACTTTTATGAGGGGAAATACCTCCAGAACGTAGCTGTCGCCATATTCACTGCACAGTGTATTTATTATAAAGTGGGACTAATATCTAGTTTCAAAACAAACCATTCTCATGCACCGCACCTACCGAAGCTCAGCACAGAACTGTGTCACGGAGGGCCACCCGGCACCCACCTCTGGGAAAGGGCAATAACCTACATTCACCAGCTGTCCTTGGTGCCGATCTTAAGGGATATCTATTTAGGGTAAAGACTCCTCTCCAGGTAGAGCTCTGAGCGGCCTTTTAAAGCCACTCAAATGGGAGTTTGCATATCTGATTAAATGTCATAAACCAGTTCAAATCGGAGAAGCAAATTAATCAAGAACTAATTAACATTTAAATATATTTGTGGGGAAATATTTCCCTGTGGGCACTAATCCATGTGATCTGGTGTCCAGGGCTTGGTGCTGATATTAGTGCGACAATATCAGATCTTATGGCCAACGAATTATAAAGTGTGTCAGCATCAGACCCCGGACACATCTGCCTCCCCCCAGACACACCTTCCTTCTGTCCCCAAAGAGGCCCCATTCTTTCACATTCCTTTATGAACAAAAATAATGCACTTCTCCACATATGTAGTGTACGTGTGTGCCCTATTTCATACACAGCTCTCCTATCTGCTATTGCACAGCAGCGTTCCTACCTGCCCCGTGCGGTGTGCAGGGTTCCCAGGTGTGTCTGCAGTGTGGGGTGTGTGCATGCTGTGGGCAGGCTGGGCTTTACAGTGTACCCAGCATGCAAAGGAAATGAAAACAGTTCCAATTACTCAAAACTTCTGTTCTCCAAGGGTTATTCATAGTGTCTGCCTGTTGCTGCTGGGTGTCCCCCATTATGCTCCTGAGAGAAAAGCGTTTCTTTTCACACCACTGCGTGGAGTCAGGGTGTGCTCCTCTGCAGACAGCCCTCGCACGTCTGAGACACCTGTGCACCCGTGCGGGGAATCATGGCAGGCTTCCGGGAGTGCAGGGAGCCCGCTGCTGCTTGACTGCTCTCAATTGTTCTGAGGAGACACTTTGGCAATTGTACAAGTTACAGAACTGAAAGCCCTGCACCAATAGTTTAATAAATGCTACTTTCTACAACTTTGCTGTCTGTATAAGTAATTCCTAACTCAAACTACTTTAAGTTGAATTTTCTTGTCCTTCATGCAATAAACCATTATTCAACGACTACAATAATGACTTTTTGTCTTTCAGCTGAAATTATTTGATTCAAATAATGACGGGAAGCTGGAGTTAACCGAGATGGCCCGGTGAGTGAGGGCTGCGCAAATACTAACTGAAGCTGATCCTTACCAAAAATGCTAATCCATTAACGTAATGTTTTTCTCTCAAAAGGCTACTACCAGTGCAGGAGAATTTTCTTCTTAAATTTCAGGTATTTCTCTTTTTCTCTACCATAGATGGTATTTTCCTTGAACAGTTACAATATGGGAGAGTCACTGAGGGAAACTCCATAAAGCTTACCAGCAGCATTTTAACCTTTGCTCCTTCTCTACCCTCCAGGGCGTCAAAATGTGTGGGAAAGAGTTCAATAAAGCTTTCGAGTTATATGACCAGGTAAAAGTTTGTTCTTATCTATAGTTCTTCAGAATTTGGAAAATGCTGAGGGGAAAACCCTCAGGCTCCAGGCTCCTATGAAAAGCAACATGAACTATTAGAGTCACCCAGCTGTCTCCTTCTCACCCAGGAAATGTATCATGGTGTGTCCCAAATTAGGCAAATCTTGACACAAATCCCACACTCTAACTGAACTGCTATGAGGCTTTGAATAAGATACCAAAGTCCTCTGAGCCTCTGTTTCCTCAAGTGTAAACAAAGACAGTCCCACCTGTTCTGCAGGTGGGGGTTGGGGGGGCGGGGGAAGGGGACTGATCTGGATGAAAATTCCAGCAGTTTCCTCCACCCAGTGAAAGGCTCTGTCGTGTGTGTGTGTGTGTGTGTGTGTGTGTGTGTGTGTGTGTGTGTGAGAGAGAGAGAGAAAGGCTGTTTGCAAGGTCACTGGTTAACCTCCTTTATTTGCTCTAAAGTCTCTACCCCTGGACCAAACCAGTGTGACACCAGGCGGGTCACATAGCTTCCTCAGGCCTCCATGTCCCACTCCTATGAGCACGTTGGTGACCAGTTACCTCCACAGGAGGTGATGTGACATGAAGTGAAGTGTTAAATGTGAGGCTCTTTGAAACGTTCATGTTACAAATGTAAGGTGTGGAATGAGAGGCGACTCTGGAGCAGTCAGACATGGCGGGGTCCGAGGGGTCAGGGTGCTCCCAGGACGGGGCCTGAGCAGGTCCTTCGTGTGTGTTGCCGCATTGCCATGTGTCGGAGACCGGCTCTGCTTCTCCCTCAGGACGGCAATGGCTACATCGACGAACACGAGCTCGACGCTCTGCTGCGGGACCTGTGCGAGAAGAACAAGCAGGTAACGCCTTCCCGCTCTGGCTTCCCAGGCGGGTGCACCGGGCCATCCGGGGCAGCCACACCCATGTCTGAACTCGAAGCATTTAGGGAGGGCAGGAGTAGCTTTCAGTTCTTAACCTGACTTGGCAACTGGGATCAATGGATTTTTATTTATTTTATTGTTTATTAATCCTCACCTCAGAAGATTTTTCCATTGATTTTTAGAGAGAGTGGAAGGGAGAGGGACAGGGAGGAGAGAGAGAGACATTGATGTGACAGAGACACATCGACTGGTGGCCTCCCACTCGTACCCTGCCGGGGGCTGGGAATCAAACACGCAACCTTGACTGGAATCAAACCCATGACCCTTCAGTCTGCAGGCCATCACTCTAACCACTGAGCACACCAGCCAGGGCTGGGATCAATAGATGTTACAACCACTTGTGATTACCCAGCTCCTCTCTGGGACCTATGTAAGGAGCACCCCTACACACCCTCTCACCCGGCCACGCTGACTCCCTCCCACATTAACCAGGCGCATGCCCTCTGTGCTCTGTGCAGGACCTGGACATTAACAACATCCCCAACTACAAGAAGAGCATCATGGCCTTGTCGGATGGGGGGTGCAAGGTCACTGGTTAACCTCCTTTATTTGCTCTAAAGTCTCTACCCCTGGACCAAACCAGTGTGACACCAGGCGGGTCACATAGCTTCCTCAGGCCTCCATGTCCCACTCCTATGAGCACGTTGGTGACCAGTTACCTCCACAGGAGGTGATGTGACATGAAGTGAAGTGTTAAATGTGAGGCTCTTTGAAACGTTCATGTTACAAATGTAAGGTGTGGAATGAGAGGCGACTCTGGAGCAGTCAGACATGGCGGGGTCCGAGGGGTCAGGGTGCTCCCAGGACGGGGCCTGAGCAGGTCCTTCGTGTGTGTTGCCGCATTGCCATGTGTCGGAGACCGGCTCTGCTTCTCCCTCAGGACGGCAATGGCTACATCGACGAACACGAGCTCGACGCTCTGCTGCGGGACCTGTGCGAGAAGAACAAGCAGGTAACGCCTTCCCGCTCTGGCTTCCCAGGCGGGTGCACCGGGCCATCCGGGGCAGCCACACCCATGTCTGAACTCGAAGCATTTAGGGAGGGCAGGAGTAGCTTTCAGTTCTTAACCTGACTTGGCAACTGGGATCAATGGATTTTTATTTATTTTATTGTTTATTAATCCTCACCTCAGAAGATTTTTCCATTGATTTTTAGAGAGAGTGGAAGGGAGAGGGACAGGGAGGAGAGAGAGAGACATTGATGTGACAGAGACACATCGACTGGTGGCCTCCCACTCGTACCCTGCCGGGGGCTGGGAATCAAACACGCAACCTTGACTGGAATCAAACCCATGACCCTTCAGTCTGCAGGCCATCACTCTAACCACTGAGCACACCAGCCAGGGCTGGGATCAATAGATGTTACAACCACTTGTGATTACCCAGCTCCTCTCTGGGACCTATGTAAGGAGCACCCCTACACACCCTCTCACCCGGCCACGCTGACTCCCTCCCACATTAACCAGGCGCATGCCCTCTGTGCTCTGTGCAGGACCTGGACATTAACAACATCCCCAACTACAAGAAGAGCATCATGGCCTTGTCGGATGGGGGGAAGCTGTACCGGACGGACCTCGCCCTCATTCTCTCTGCTGGGGACAACTAGAGCGTAGCCCGGCCACTCACTAGCGGTACACCTTACCTAAAAACTCCTGCGCGCGCTCTAAGGGAGTATCTGTGCTTCCTGTCATAGCTGTACATCTAACTGCCTACGATAACTGTCCCGGTGTGTGCACAATCCTTCCGCTTGTTTCTATCTGCTTGTAATGTACAGTTTTTGTAACCACAGGACTGAAAAGATCGTCTATGCTTAAGCCAGTCAATACACCCATTAAACATAACCTGGCACATTCCTGCTTTTGTACATGGAGTTGGACAGCATTTCCCCAAAAAATTCATCAGGATTAATCTCTACAACTTTAGTCACTGATGTGTTAATGCAAGTTTTTCACTGAAGCATTCTTAATTCAGACAATCACAGGTCAATCCCACAAAATCGTTCGAAGCTGTATCTCCAGTTGCTGAGAGGACTGTGCTTTCACATCTAGAATACCCTCGTCCACCCTTAGTTAGTTAATGGGCCCCGGGAGCAGGATGTAGTCCGTGAGCCGCACGTCTCCTGCTTGACCTCACCACGTGCTGGTCAGGCGATTTGGTGACAAGACAGTGCCCGGCGGACACCACACTGTGTCTGATCCATGAGCGTCTCCCACACACTCGTTTCGGAGGACGGCCTCAGCCCACTTTCTAAACGGTTTGCACGTGTTGGGGATGACAATTATTCTAGAAAATGCTGTTTGATGTCGTGTCCTGTCCCCTCTGATTAAATCCCACATGCCGAGCAGCCTGGTGTCTAGTCTGTGTCCTTCCTGGACCTTCTTCCCACGCAGAACTTCTCACTCGGGTGGGTGGAGCGTCTCTGCTGCCTCCCAACGGCCCCTGTTCTCACTCTCCTTTCCCGACACCATGAGTCCCAGCTCAGCCCAGGCTGGCGGCTGAGGCACAGGGCGCGTGTATCCCGTGACTTCGTCTTCCCTGCTGAGATGAGCATTCGAAATAATTGTCTTTCTGTCTGCAAATAGTTTCAAGTGAGTTGAAATAACCCGTGAAGAGAAATGCTGTGGGACCCGTCTGGTCATAGGGAGAGGCGAGCACAGCCTGGCCGCACAGGCCGCTCCTGCC